GAATTTTGGATGGACTCGACGAGTTGGTGCCTCAACTTGTCGAGTAGGGTTGTGGCTGATGACTAAGATTAATGAGTGGACTCGACGAATCGACGAGCCGACTCGACAAGTTAGCGTTGGAGACAGACACCCCCCATCAGTGCCATTCGTCCTTTGAGATAAACCTTAGACTCATTTGTGAGCAATAAATTCATTTTTTCTACATCGTCAAAATACTTATCAAACTTTACTCTCATTACCAATGCAATATCACAAAGGCTAACATCGGAAATAGCATCATCCAAGAGTGTACGAATGGAATAAATATCTTCAATGCACGTGTTTGATGTCATGTATAGTGTCCCAAAAATCCTTTCAGTAACATCACAAAATGGTTTTAAAAAATGACACAAATGCCTAACACGTCGCCAATCGCTCGGTAAAGGAATCGATAAACCCGCCTTTTCTCTGTCGAAACGAAACTCATATTCCTATAGATCGTATCTCTCAAAAGTTTTTTCATAAGCTTGGGCAATATTCAACATACGATAAGTAGAGTTCCATCTTGTTGGAACATCTGTTACCAAGTGTTTCGTTGTACTCGGATTAACAAGCTTAGCAAACTTGATGAATTTGCCAATTCTTGAAGGTGATTGTTGTAACATCCCGGAATATCAAGAGTAGAGTTGAATGGCTAAAAGTGTAAATTTAAAGGGCAACTCGGCGAGTCCACGGATGGACTCTGCGAGTAGGGTCGCGACTTTGGTCGCGTGTCATGTGGCCTAGTCGGCGAGTAGGTGCTGAGTGGAGAAAACCCTAAATCCGGAGGATGAGTCCTATTTAAAGGTCATTATACCCTCTCCCCAGCCTCTTTAATCCCCCTTGAAGTCCAGAAACCCTAGAAAGCGTGATTGTGGAAGATTGGAGTGCATTTGGAGCTTGGGGAAGTGTTAATTGAAGAAATCTTGAAGGAGAAGAGGTTTGGATCAATGGGCTTTGTTTAGATTCGGATCTCTTGCTGTTGGAGGCTTCATTTTGAGGTAATATCTCGTTCTTGGGCTGTGTTCTTCTAGATTCTTCATTTTAGGGTTGTGTGGGAAGCTTAGATTTGTGGCATCTTGAGTTTGAAGGATAGATCTGAGGTTGCTACCTTAGATCTGGAGTGGAGAAGGTCATAGGAGCATTAAAGTCCCTCTTCTTGTGTAGTTGATGGAGCTATCTTGTCCCACACCCAAAACCTAGAGTGAAAATGCCTAGATCTTCTTGGATTCACGTAAAGATTGCCACTTTACGTGATGGATGGCCTTAGGAGAAGTAGATCTATGGTTTGGATCATCTGCATGGCTTGGAAAGTTTACGTATGGATTCAGACCCGGTGGTACTCGGCGAGTCACATGGGTGGACTCGACGAGTTGCTTGAAGAAAGTCTGGAACTCGGCGAGTTGGAAGAACAACTCGGCGAGTTGGATGAAGATGGTCTGGAACTCGGCGAGTTGAAGAACAACTCGGCGAGTAGGTTGAAGATAGTCGTAGACTCAGCGAGTCTGTTCTTGGACTCGGCGAGTCTGGTCGTAGGGTCCAAGTTTCTTTTGGAAGTGCTGTGACTCGGTGAGTCAAGGGATGACTCGGTGAGTTATGTGCGAGTAGGCTCAGGGTTGTTGGACTCGGCGAGTCTCGGGGTGACTCAGCGAGTTGGGTCACGAATTGAAGGAGGTTCTGTGTATGAGGACTCGGCGAGTCATCGAGTTGACTCGGCGAGTAAAGTCAGTAAGGGGTAGACTTTGACTTTGACCAAGGGTTGACCAGTTGATTTCCAGGGGTATTTTGGTAATTATTGGTATTTATTGGTTTCAGTCTTTTGGGTATTGGCAGTGTTGGAGTTCGGGTCGGAGGCTAAAGCAGCGTGATCTTATCCTTTCAGTCAGCAGTTGCGAGGTGAGTTATCCTCACTATATCAATAGGGTCTAAGGCACCAAGGTCGGCCCTTTATCGGATTGAGATCCGGGTATCTGTTGTTATGTTATTGCTTTGATATGTATGCATCCGGGTAGTTAGGATGGTATTCGTTAGAGACCTAGTTAAGGTCGGTATCTTGGTATATAGGATGATGTTATGATAGTGACCGGTTAGGTCAGTATCCCGTTAGAGTATGTTGTGTTATGTGATCTGCTAGATCGGTTTGCCTGAATATGAATTGTTATGTGATTGTATGTTTATGTGCGCATGGTTGTTTGGACTGGAGTTGGGTTGAGGCGGGTCCTGCTTCGTGCTGTAGGCCAAGATACCCAGGCGGACCGGTTGTTCCGAAGGCTCAACGAGCGGTCCGGATAGGCTGTAGGCCCCACGAGGGCGGACCAGACGTGCCGAGGCTCGGAGAGTGGACCAGGCCGACTGAAGGCTCGGTGCGGGCGGACCAATCATACTGTAGACTCAGAGAGTGGACCAGGTGGGTTGAAGGCCCGGTGCGGCAGACCAACCACACTGTAGACTCGAGGGACATGACTGGACTCGGAGGGTGGACCAGGTGGACTGAAGGCCCGACACAGCGGACCAGTCTCACAGTAGACCCGATATGCATGGTTGTTCTGTGATTCATTATGAGATAGCATGTTATGTGTATGGTATATGTGGTTGGTATTTTGGGGGTATCTCACTAAGCTTTCGGGCTTACAGTTGTGGTTTAATGTTTTCAAGGTTCTCCAGGAGACTGTGGCAAGGCAAAGGTGTGATCGTACCGCTACTCGTGTTTATGTTTTATGAAATGGACCTGGGAATACTCTGATAATAAATATATTGAAAACCTTTTTGTAATAACTTAATCAATTAGGTTGTTTTTGAAAAGTTTAAATTTATTTGAAATTTTGGGTCGTTACAATTGCCTAATCCACTTTACCGCCCATCTAATTATCTCAACCGACTTATCAACATTTTTAATACCATCTTGCACCACCAAGTTTATAATGTAGGCAACACATCTCATGTGTGTCCATTTCCTATTTAAGAGACACTTATTGGAATTTTAAAAGATCTTTTTAAAAAACTCAATGGTCATGTCATTAGCACTTGCGTTGTCAACGGAAATTGTGAAAAAAAAATATTCCCCAATCTATTAAGCATTTCTCAACCACTAATCAACTATCAACCCCACGATGACTCTCTTGACGACAAAAATTCAACTTTTTTTTTTTTCAATTTCCATTCATTGTCTACAAAGTGGGCGGTGAGATACATATAACTTGATTGTTGTGTAGAAGTCCAAGTATCGGTGGTCAAACAAATCCTACCAACGTTTTTTTAATAAAAGCTTGAAGTTTTTCTTTTTCTTCTTGAAACAATTGGTATGTCTTGGTTGTACTTGTACTTCTACATTAATTTTAAACATTTGTTGAGTAACATTATTGTAATATTTAAAGCCCACACCTTCCACAAAACTAAATGGAAGTTCATCAACTACTAACATGTGTGCCAAAGCCTTTCTACTCTTTTTTTTTATCAAATTTCCAAGATGTTAATTTGTTTTCATCACCAAAAGTTATTTGTGTTTGACCGACATTTACTTTAGCCAAGTAAGGCACACATTTGTTTAAATGAGTTAAAAGCTTTTGGTACCATACCCTTTCCCTTCACACTTGTATCGCCCAGAACCACAATGCTTACATTTCGATCTTTCAACTCCATCTTTGTCCGTAAATCTTTCGAATTCATCCCAAACTTCGGATCTTGGTTTGTACTTTTTTGGTTGTCTCTCATTTACTACCGGAACTGAATCATTGATTGGACTTTCAAGGTTAATCGTCTCATCTTCAATATACTCATTCGTTTCAGACATCTAGTATAAAAAAAAAGTTAAGAAAATATAAACAAAAACAGTTAAAAAAACAAGAAAACAGACAATATCTAAATTCGAAATAATTTGACAACTTTATACATCAAACATCTATACAAAGGAATTCAATTTCATTCCATTTCCTTTAACAGAAAGCAAAACAAATTCCAATATAATTCCAGAACATACAGATCAAACATTTGACAGCTTTATACATCAAATATTTATACATCAAACATCTATATTTTTTATTTTTCTGCAGCAAATCAACTTATATTTTTTTTATTTTTCTAAACAGATTCAACAAACTAGACACAAAGAAATCAAAATCAACATATTTTTTTTGCATAGTTATGCCTAAGCTAAATAAAATGTGAATCAAAACAAACATTAACAACACAACAAAGAAATAAAAGAAAATGCAGAACTTTTAACCTGTGATTGTGATTGCATACTCGAGTCTTTTGATCGATCAAGGTTCAACCGTTCAAGGAGAGTGGGAATTTTCAACGTGATCAGATGGAGAGGGAAGAAACCCAAGCGTGATCAAATGGAGTCGATAAGGGTTTAACGTTTTTGAGGCAAATACTTGTGATAGTGAGAATTGCGATGAGGGTTCAGTGTTGTATTTGCTTTGCGAGTTTGCCTCAAGCCATCGATCATAAGAAGAAACCAAAGGGTTTTTTTTTTTTTTTTTTTTTGTTTTTGAAGCGTGCCTACCTGATTACATTGTATATTATTTAAAAAACGAATTCAGGTATTTGGGTATACACAAAAATTAATATTCATACCTTAAACCTGATCTATATTATTATCGGGTTAACCTATTACCCGAATGTTCATACCCGTTACCCACTCTATTCGACCCATTCTACCCGAATTCGAAACTGGTCGTATGGGTAGCGTAGGTTTCAGTTTTTTTCGAAAGGCCTACTTCACATTCCACAAAATAGATGTATCAACAACTCAAAATGAAGATGACACATCGCGCAAAACACAATTGGTAACCCCTCTATACACTATACAGTATACACCATATTCGGTCTTAATGGACTACGAACTAAGAGAATTCTTGTTATTTGTTATCAATCATAATTCATGATCTACCAAAAGAAACCCTATTATATTTCAATGTGGCGTTGAAATAAAATAGCAAAGAAAGGAAATAAATGATGAAGCTTAACCCGATTATAGTAAAAGACATTCTTGCTGACGTGCTCACCCCTACACTAATCCTAATTCTAATAAATAAGTAGAACTCTACCACGTGTCAATCTATAAGACCTCCAAAATAGAGTTTTCCCGCTCATTTTATTCATCTATATTTACGTAAATGCCATACAATCCAAATTCAATAATTCCGGAAAAATCTGCAAACAAATATGTTAATCAATCTTCAGATTCGAAAAACACGCATTAATTTTGAAAGTTTGTTTATTTTGATTGCAAATTAAATCCCTAAAAATCTGCAATATTATTCTTTTTCAAACGTAATCTTCTTAATTCTTATTCTTATTTATTCAAACGTAAATAGCATTCATACGGTTATTTTCTTTTTACCATTCTGCTCCAGACGAATTCTGCTCCATAGTAATATTTGCAAACGTATTCTTCTTCATTCTTCTTGATTCTGCAACGCTTCAAAAATTATAATATCAGGTTAGTGTATCAAAATATCAGCATTACTAATATTTCTAACCTCTTAATTGTCTGATTTACCAGTTTCTATCATTTTTCATTTTATTAGTGATGTTCTTCTTCTTCCTTTTGCTAATTCTTCTTAATCATGTTCTTCTTCTACCTTTTCAGTTTAAAAGACGTAAATGTTAATGAAAATGATTACAAAATACGAAATTAGTAATAAAAATGAGAACTTTATTTTCTTTAAAAAAAACTGTTCTTCAAAGTTTTAACTATTACAATATGTTTTTTTTTGTTTTGCTGTTTCATTTACTTTGATTTGCTGTTAATTTAAAAGGTTGCTAATTTTCCTTACAATTCTTTAATGATTAAATTTATTGCAGAAAATGGAATTCATATGCGAACCCAACTGATTGGCAATATGGTCATTAAATTTATTCTATAAAATCAAAACTTATCTGTTTTCATATGCGAACCCAATTGATTGGCTTTTCAAAATCAAATTCGCAACTCCAAATCGTTCGATTATTCGCTCCAATTCCAAAATCAAATAACAGATCCTTCGTATAATTCATTTAATAACCAAGGCTTCTTTTACTTCAAAATGACCATATTGCCCCTAACTTGATAAGTATTTCATATATCGCAATTAACAATTAAGACAAATCAATCAATCAATCAATTTGTATAATAAAAATGCGAAATTCTTAGCTTTCTTCCCCAATTCGCATTCTACTGTAAAATTCACATTCTTCATTCACCCTCTTTCTTCGCATGTTCCAGTCATTTTTTTTAGTTCATTCGCATTTGAGTTGTTTGTCTCACCAAATACGAAATGAATATTAACCATAATCACCTTCGCATCTTTAACCCCAATCCATACAACCTCATATGCGAAACCCAATTTTGATTTGTATTACCAAATGCGAACATTTTTGCTTTTACACGTGAACTGCATTTGACTCCAATATGCGAACATCTTTAACCCCAATCCATACAACCTCAAAGCTTTAACTATTACAATATGTTTTTTTTTGTTTTGCTGTTTCATTTACTTTGATTTGCTGTTAATTTAAAAGGTTGCTAATTTTCCTTACAATTCTATAATGATTAAATTTATTGCAGAAAATGGAAATAGGAAATAAGGTTTACCTAAATAACATTGACCAGATAGATGAAAAATCGCATATCAAGGTTCGGGTGCTTAAAATTTGGAACTTTGTCAGAAATAATAAAGTTTGTTCCATTGAAATGATCATCATGGATGAGGAGGTTTGTTGTATTTGATATATTTTTTATTCATCATTCAATATTAGACATGTTTCATGAACATAATAATTTTTAATTTTTTTTTAAACAGGGTACACAATACCAAGCTCGTGTCTTCAATCAGAATTTCTCCAGATTTCGTCATCTTTTAAAGGAAGATGAAAGTTATATAGTTATAAAACCCAATATGGCTGCTGTTACTAATGGTTTTAGTTATACAGGTCATAAACAGACCTTAACTTTGGATTGGAAAAGCATCCTAAAAAAATGTGATGATTTCTCGGGTCCGGTCAATGGATTTATGTTTGTTGACTTTAATTCTATCATAGAACAAACATGCCCAAAAGACACATTCTTTGGTTAGTCATAAAATATTAATAAAATCATTTTTTATCATTTGTTTTTTTGGTTATACATTTTATTATTTAAATATTACGAATTTAATTCTAAACTTTTATTTTTTTGTGGTATCTGTTGTGTAGATGTTATTGGACATATCGTGTCATTTAGGTCTTTTGAAACTTCAAATCCAGTACCATCCAAGCATTATATAAAAGTCACTCTTAGCAACCTAGAGTGAGATTATATTGTGTTATTTATTTATTATTTATTATCTTTAATTAATCACAAATTAATATTAATATACTATTTTATGGTTTATTTAGTTCTGTACATCTGAAGGTTACTATTTTTGGAAGTCAAGCATATCAAATTTCAGAATACCTAAAAAATAACCCGACTGTTAATTTTGTTGTTATCGTGATGCAGTTTTTGAAGCTAAACATTTGGAATGGTTTGTATTCAGTCTTTATATATAGATGTTTATAATTACTATTTTTATATAAATTTTAATAATTGGATATACATTTTTTACAGGTCTTGGTGAAGCTAAAAGTCATTTTGAAGTAACGAAATTGTTCATAAATTCTGACATTTATGAAATAAATGAGTTTAAAAATAAGTTAGTTTCCAATTGTTTTTTATTTTTTTATAATGTATTTTAACTTAAAAAAAACACAAAACCTAATATTCATGAATCTAAATTAAACATTACAGGTTGAAATGTCATGACAGTTTCGGTATAACTGAAAAAAGCATAATACACTTCAAAGCTACTCTTCTTCATATACAGATGACTTTAAGGGCAATTTCCATTAAAAACAATCTGTGAGATCACCGAACCAATTAAGGTATATTGCATTATTTTATATGTTTTACATTTTATTTTTGCATAATTTATTTTAATAATTTTTACATTTTATATGATACAGGAAATGAAGTTTTTATTAGTTGCTTCCATTGTTAATATAAGGCAGAATCTACCATGGTATTATGAAGCATGCAAAAAATGTGGAAAAAAAATTATCCCTGTTCCCAAAACCAATCATTCGTATACCAACCCTGAGGGAATTTCAGAAACTATGGTTGTCGAGTGTACAAATGCACAATGCAAAAAATCTGAATTTCAGTCAGTTATAAAGTATAGACATATTTATTTCTATTAATTTTGTCAATCTTAAAACAACACTAACAATGACATAATTATTTTTTGTTTTAGGTATATAATTCCAATTAACGTACAAGATTGTACTGGAACCATTGGATTGACTCTTTTTGATAGGGAAGCAAGGAGGTTGTTAAATATAAGTGCCTACGAGTTGAAAAAGATACATGATGCGGTATATTATTCATACCTTTAAAATCAGAAAACATTTACTTAATTTTTTTAATTTATTAAAATATATCTTACAGGCCGGAGACAGTGATGCCCTATTTCCAATGCAACTTAATGTGTTGAAAAACCGCAAGTTTGGTTTGTTGTAGATATTACAAAATACAATGTCAACAACTATAATAACATCTACACAGTTCTCAGAGTTACAGAAGATATGTCCATTGTTTGTGAATTGGAAAGTAAAATAGAACTTATGGTATGTAATTTTTTATTGTTGAAAATTTACAATTCTTTAATGTTAAAGTACATAACGATTAACATATTTCCATTTTACTTTTTAGAGTAATCAATCTGTCTCCTTAAATCAAGTTGCTTTGGAATCCGATGATGTTGTACAGCCTGTTCAAAAGGTTTTTCATTTTATTTTATAAACTTTTAATTATATTAGTTATTTTTTTTAGGAATCAAACATTTTTTTTTTAAAATTAGGATGTGATCTCACAAACAGACGAAAGTTTTACACCCTCAACAGTTGATAAGTCAACTGCAACAAGTCCTTGTAAAATATCAGGTGATTTGAAGCGCAACCTCCAAGAAATTTATGATGTTGATTCTGGATATGATTTAAGTTCAACTAAGGCTAAAAGAAAGTCAACCGTAGAGGAAACTCCACTCTTGATTCCAAAAATTGAAAAGTGAGTTTCTATCGGTTATAAGACACATTTAATATATTTTGATCATTTGTTTTGGTTATAAAGATATTTTAATTGCTTGGTATGATTTTTATTTTGGGGTATTTAGGATGTCAAATATTATTGGTTTTGAATATTTTTGGATACTTTTATTGTTTTAAATTGGACAAGTTAGTTGATTTTGGTTATAACTCAAATAAAATATATTGCCCCTAACTTGATAAGTATTTCATATATCGCAATTAACAATTAAGACAAATCAATCAATCAATCAATTTGTATAATAAAAATGCGAAATTCTTAGCTTTCTTCCCCAATTCGCATTCTACTGTAAAATTCACATTCTTCATTCACCCTCTTTCTTCGCATGTTCAGTCATTTTTTTTTAGTTCATTCGCATTTGAGTTGTTTGTCTCACCAAATACGAAATGAATATTAACCATAATCACCTTCGCATCTTTAACCCCAATCCATACAACCTCATATGCGAAACCCAATTTTGATTTGTATTACCAAATGCGAACATTTTTGCTTTTACACGTGAACTGCATTTGACTCCAATATTGAACAAATCACATTTCACAATCCTTCTTGACTTCGCATTTTTCTTCACGAATCGTCCCTCAATCAATAACCCAATTGCGAATCCAAAATCAAAACTTATCTGTTTTCATATGCGAACCCAACTGATTGGCTTTTCAAAATCAAATTCGCAACTCCAAATCGTTCGATTATTCGCCCCAATTCCAAAATCAAATAACAGATCCTTCGTATGATTCATTTAATAACCAAGGCTTCTTTTACTTCAAAATGACCATATTGCCCCTAACTTAATAAGTATTTCATATATCGCAATTAACAATTAAGACAAATCAATCAATCAATCAATTTGTATAATAAAAATGCGAAATTCTTAGCTTTCTTCCCCAATTCGCATTCTACTGTAAAATTCACATTCTTCATTCACCCTCTTTCTTCGCATGTTCCAATCATTTTTTTTTTAGTTCATTGGCATTTGAGTTGTTTGTCTCACCAAATGCGAAATTAATATTAACCATAATCACCTTCGCATCTTTAACCCCAATCCATACAACCTCATATGCGAAACCCAATTTTGATTTGTATTACCAAATGCGAACATTTTTGCTTTTACACGTGAACTGCATTTGACTCCAATATTGAACAAATCACATTTCACAGTCCTTCTTGACTTCGCATTTTTCTTCACGAATCGTCCCTTAATCAATAACCCAATTGCTAATCCAAAATCAAAACTTATCTGTTTTCATATGCGAACCCAACTGATTGGCTTTTCAAAATCAAATTCGCAACTCCAAATCGTTCGATTATTCGCCCCAATTCCAAAATCAAATAACAGATCCTTCGTATGATTCATTTAATAACCAAGGCTTCTTTTACTTCAAAATGACCATATTGCCCCTAACTTGATAAGTATTTCATATATCGCAATTAACAATTAAGACAAATCAATCAATCAATCAATTTGTATAATAAAAATGCGAAATTCTTAGTTTTCTTCCCCAATTCGCATTCTACTGTAAAATTCACATTCTTCATTCACCCTCTTTCTTCGCATGTTCCAGTCATTTTTTTTTTAGTTCATTGGCATTTGAGTTGTTTGTCTCACCAAATGCGAAATTAATATTAACCATAATCACCTTCGCATCTTTAACCCCAATCCATACAACCTCATATGCGAAACCCAATTTTGATTTGTATTACCAAATGCGAACATTTTTGCTTTTACACGTGAACTGCATTTGACTCCAATATTGAACAAATCACATTTCACAGTCCTTCTTGACTTCGCATTTTTCTTCATGAATCGTCCCTCAATCAATAACCCAATTAACCCAATTGCTAATCCAAAATCAAAACTTATCTGTTTTCATATGCGAACCCAACTGATTGGCTTTTCAAAATCAAATTCGCAACTCCAAATCGTTCGATTATTCGCCCCAATTCCAAAATCAAATAACAGATCCTTCGTATGATTCATTTAATAACCAAGGCTTCTTTTACTTCAAAATGACCATATTGCCCCTAACTTGATAAGTATTTCATATATCGCAATTAACAATTAAGACAAATCAATCAATCAATCAATTTGTATAATAAAAATGCGAAATTCTTAGCTTTCTTCCCCAATTCGCATTCTACTGTAAAATTCACATTCTTCATTCACCCTCTTTCTTCGCATGTTCCAGTCATTTTTTTTTAGTTCATTGGCATTTGAGTTGTTTGTCTCACCAAATACGAAATGAATATTAATCATAATCACCTTCGCATCTTTAACCCCAATCCATACAACCTCATATGCGAAACCCAATTTTGATTTGTATTACCAAATGCGAACATTTTTGCTTTTACACGTGAACTGCATTTGACTCCAATATTGAACAAATCACATTTCACAGTCCTTCTTGACTTCGCATTTTTCTTCACGAATCGTCCCTCAATCAATAAACCAATTAACCCAATTGCTAATCCAAAATCAAAACTTATCTGTTTTATATGCGAACCCAACTGATTGGCTTTTCAAAATCAAATTCGCAACTCCAAATGGTTCGATTATTCGCCCCAATTCCAAAATCACAAATAAAACTTCCAATGTTGTTTATAAGGAAGTTTTTCGAAATTTGTAGCCAACTTTTTTGTAACGTCGTTTTATTCAATTTTAGGAAATCACACTTAATCCATCATATTACTGTATTTTTTTATAATTACGTATTGTTGTATTTTATGTTAATTTCATTACACACATTGGTATTGTATCATCTGCATACGTCCAATTAGAATGATGAATAAAAAAAAATAGTTTTCAAAAATCTTCATTCCTAATTAAATACTTCCCATTTAGTTAGTAATTAAATAATTACCAATAAAAAAAATTATTTAAATATTCAATATTACAATTTATAAGTTATCAGAATTATTGATATAATATTTTATTAAATAATTAATTTTTAAATTCAATTCAAAAACAGCACCCGTGGGTTCCACGGGTTTTAACCTAGTATAACTATATAAGTGATTATTGTAAAAGACGGTTAATTGGTTTAAAAAATAAATGGAATTAATAATCTTAATATTAGATTCATTTCGAAGATAAATCAAATAGCCAGGTAAAATCATAAAATGCCACTACATATGGGCCTAATATAAATTCCTGTCGATCCATTTGGCCAGTCAAAGAGGCCCATCTCCATGTTTCACTTTGAAGTTCTAGAGAGTTTGAGACGTCGGAGTCTCCACAAGCTTCAAGATGAGCCTAGAAATTCCTGTCCCACTCGATCACCTTTTCGGCTTTTTCCCTCCTATAAATAATAATCACCGGTCGACCTCCTTACATCAAGATACAAGAAAGAGAACTTTCGATATCATAGTGTCACAATATTAGATCAATCGTCAAAAGCTTCAGCCATGTCGATCATTCCAAGCTTCTTTACAGGCAGGAGGAGCAACATATTCGATCCCTTCTCCCTCGACATCTGGGACCCTTTCCAGGGACTTTCCAGTGCTCTCAGCAACCTTCCCGAATCATCACGTGAAACAGCCGCAATCGCCAACGCCAGAATCGACTGGAAGGAGACGCCGGAGGCCCACATTTTCAAAGCGGACTTGCCTGGGCTGAAGAAAGAGGAGGTGAAGGTGGAGGTTGAAGAAGGAAGGGTGTTGCAGATAAGCGGAGAGAGGAGCAGGGAACATGAGGAGAAGAACGACAAGTGGCATAGGGTTGAGAGGAGCTCCGGGAAGTTCTTGAGGAGGTTCAGGCTGCCGGAAAGTGCAAAACTTGAAGAGGTGAAAGCTAGCATGGAGAACGGCGTGCTGACAGTGACCGTGCCCAAGGCGGAAGAGAAGAAGCCGGAAGTGAAATCCATTGACATTAGTGGTTAAGGATTTACAGAGCTGCTAATATATTATGAGTATTAAGTATGTTTAATAATTGCATAAGTTAAGAAATTGTGTTGTTGAATTGTTGTCCTCATTTAAGATGATGTAATCTGATTTCTATACGATAATGTTGTATTGACTTGTTTGCTCTAATTTGTTTATATATGGTCTTCTTACTCTTCTATAATATCCGTCGTTTAGAATTAGATGATTTGTGTGATTGTGTAATTATTGGGTAGTTCTTTTTAAAGCATTTGTGTTGATAAATCATTCTAATCATTTGACTTTTGGTGACTTGGCAGGAGTATAGAAAATATAGGGTAACCTATTTGACCTATGTTTCAATTTTGACACTTAGCTCTTGTGATTATAAAGGTTAGATTACAGTAATTTCATGACAAACAAACTCTTATGTTTACAGCAGAACATTAGTTGTTACAACTGGCCTCATCAAGGAATAAAAACTTAAATTAATAATTTCCATTGATGAGATTCACTTGTGAAATGATGTTTGTATTTACTATATTAGGTGGGTGACATAGAAAAAAATGTAAGATAGGGTTAACAAAAGTCCAAAATAATTTTAAAAGTTTTTTTTTATAGAAAAATCCAAATATTTTGATATTTTGTCTAAATAAACTAAAAAGTTTTTATTATTATTATTATTTTTATTTATTTTTTTTTATTTTTTTTAACAGCAAATAATAAATTATATGTTTTTTTCAAAATATTGGGACTTTTCTATTCAAAATTCTTTTAGGATTTTATTAAAAATTTTGAAAAAAAATTAAGACTTTTCTATAGATAACTCTATAAGATACGAAACAAAATTGGGACGTAATTGTAATTTAAATTTATGTTCGTATTGTATTCGTGTCGAATGTAAAAAACACGATGTCGTGTTCATTTTCAAAATTCGATATGAAATTGACATAATTTAATATTTGTTTGTTGTGTTATGTATGATTAGGTATTAATGAAATAAATTATATGTTATCTTTTCGTGTCTTGTCATGTTTCTCGTTTTTTAATTGATTTGTTTTCGTGTTAGTTAAAAATACACGACATCAAAATGTGTTGTGTTCGTGTTACATAAAACACTGTCATATCCTGTTGTATCAGATAAAAACACAATATGCTTGTCCAATTTACCACACATAGTTTAAGGTGATGATCAAAATATGTGTGTTTGGAATTAGAAACGACAATTTTTTTAAATGTTGGAACTAGAATAAGAAAACAAGATATCATTCTGCTTCTGGTTTTAGATATCTATTTGGCTGAATATTGATTTCTTAAAATTATTTTATAATAAATATCAGTTTTAAAGATTGTTGTATAAAATGATTAAAGATTTTATATAACATTTAGATACAATTATATTAATGGTTTATGTGGTTTACCGAAGATTACAACTTCGGTTCATATTAAAATTTTATACTAATGATCTATGTGGTTTCTACATTTACACGAATAATCTTTGTGGTTTTTAAACTTTATACGAATTATATGTGTCCTATATAAAATGTTTGTTTTTTGTCATTTTTAAAATTATTTTTCTAAAATAAAATTAATTATTAAAATTATTAAAATAATAATAATAATAAACCACCCCACCCCTTCCTCCTAGAGTGAAGCTCTGATTTTTCATCTCCCTATCTCTTCCTCTAGATTTGTTCTTCAACATTTGATGGTGGTACGATGGATTAACTCTACCAAGAGATAAAGAGTCATTGGGTAGAGAAAGAAAGAGGGGAACATTTGATGGTGGTGCGATGGGTTGTCTCTACCATGAGATTTCGGTATTGAATTTGGATCGGGAGATCTTACCGACATGAGTATCATGATATTCTACGTAACTTGAGTTGGATAGATGAAGTGATTGTGGTCTCTATTAGACTTCTTCCGATCTCTAATGCTTGATTTTAAGTTGAACGGGTGGATATTTGAGGATTGACTATCTAAAAAGACTAAATAAGTGGGATCATATCGTATTTAAATCTTAACATCCAAGTCGAGAACCTAAGATCCGCCTATAGACCTTACTTTAGAAAGTTCATTGTGTGATCGAGATTGTTTTTTGCTTGTGAAATCTTATAAACATAAGATCTTAAGATCAAGATTGCAATTATGGTTGAAAGTATGCAAGACAATTTTCAACAACGATATTGATAACATTCATAAGGAAAATGACATCGATTTGGTGATCATGAAGAAGAAACGACAAGGAGATCCAGGAAGGGGCACAAATGTTGCCAATCAGTTTCTACCTTGTTCATCTGGTTCTTTGTACACATATGTAATGAACACAATTTTTTTTAATAATTAGAAAATGATATTATATATAAGTGGCATGAGCTTTAATGTACGAAATGATATAATGCACATTAATATCAAGATTTTGATTAGGCTTAAAACTTAAGAAATCATTAACCGGAGCATGGCAACACTAGTTTGATGTGATAACTAGTAAATTTAGAGTCAAGAAAAGTTTAGATTGTAACCATGAATAAATGAATACATAATGTAACCTCATTGCCACTTGGTACTTGTAATTCAAAAATAACAATGTTATATGAGTTCATATATGTGCAAATTCATAATAAACAAATAGAAGACCAAGATAGATCAAATCCGTAATACATAAATAAAAAATGGGCCTTACTTTAAGGTTTTCGGCCAAGAAAACCCCTTGACCGAAAACCCTTCTAATGGAGACCTTAAAACCGAGAACCTTATGCAAAGGGAGGGTGTTTTCGGCCACCCTAAAGCCGACAACTGCTTGGTTTTCGTTTGGGTACAAGACCCAAAACTTTAACCTTAGGAGTGCCACCTCAAAACTTTACATCACTTTACCCACCAAATATCCAAACCATGCATGCAAATACACATCAAACCTCCACATATGGCACCTAAATGTCTACCGAATAACTATAAAATATGTTTGTCTTTTGGATAGTTGCATGTCTCATCCTTATTACTTGAATATGGTATAATATTTGCATAAAAATGTAAACATCACCACTCCTCACACAAAATTTTTCGTGACATATAGAGTCTTATTTGCACAGATAACAAAATATAACTTATTTTGTGTTAAATATGTTAACCCGAAAACATGTGCTGTACCAACTTCAATGCAAGTCAAAATATGTTTATCTTTTGGATATTTGCATGCATCATGCTTATTATTTGAATATGATGTTATATTTGTATAAGAATATAGATATCACCATTCTTTTTACACAAATTTTGTTTCATATGAAGTTGACATGCAAAAATAACACAAACATAACTTATTTTGTGTAACAAATATCAACTTAAAATTATGAGTTGTACAAACTACAAATTTTTGATAATTTTACTAAAAATAGTTTTTCTAATAGAAATGGTTATATTTTTATTCATCATTGTTTTGGTGGGTTAAAACTCAAGTATATTATGTTTTAATATATATATATATATATATATATATATATATATATATATATATATATATATATATATATATAAACACTAAACAATATTACAACTGGATATTTATATAATATTTATATAAATAGTCTACACAAAAACATACAAGGCAAACTATAATAGGTATAGTTTGGGATTTACAAAACCATACTTTTATGACGTTTAAATGGTATAAATATTCCGTTAAACAAAACAAAGGGAGTCGTAGTTCACATAAATCTGTTAATGCTCTAGTTAGACATTCTCTTCACCGTACCTACCTAGCGTACATTTTAAGTACTGCATTATAACCAGAGTCTCCTGGAGGGAGAGCGAGATAATTGTGTATAGAACTATATGAGATTGACAACCCCACACCTAAGTTGTTCGCTACAGTTAGACGGGTCAGTCTTGGGTGAAAAATATCTACCAATTCTGACGCCTGAAGAACGTTGTACATGCATAATAGTCACATTAAGCATGGTTATAATAACTTACATAGGGATTAACAATACTATCTTGGTTTACGGGAAGCTCACACTTCATTAGTTTTATTAAAATATATAACTATATACTACCTTTCAGTGCACTATTGCTTACATTTCTAGTCTTAGGGTTTAAGACTACAATTCATACATGTAACTCCCGTGTTTCTAGACTAGGCACTAATGATGATGTAACAGTTTAAGACAACCTTTGTAACTTGTTTTGAAATAATAAAGATGTATTATTTGATTATTATGTTTTTTATGCTTAATTATTATAATTTAATGAGTTAATGATAAAAATAAGCGTCATAAATAAATATTAGATAAAGTCGATATCTATGATGGAAGTTGTAGTGGTTGAAACAAGGATTCCGAAGATATAAAGAATACCGAAATCTGAGCTATAATGAAGAAGTCATAACCTGTCGAAGTTTCGCGATAGAACCAAGACGATGTTGTGTGACGTAAAAAGTAAATTTATGATAAATTGATTTTTAGCCTTAGCAATCTAAATGAAAGTCGAAGTATACGTTAAAACGAGAGCGTGCATAAAAAGAATGTCAAAATCTGACTTCGTATGAGGAAGTTGTGAATTTTCTAAGATTTGACATATCAGTATGCAACCCGAAACTTGAATTTTAGATTGAGTGATTGTTAGCCGAAACAACTTAAACGAGAATCAAAGATCTTGTTGATAGTAGTTAAACGGTAAAAAGTCAGATGAAAACGGACGTCGGATGAAGAAGTTATGAATTTTTAACGGACTTTTCCTATCCTGGCCTGTTAAAAATATAACTTTAAAAATAAAGTCAAAATTAGCTAACGGAATCTAAACGAAAGTTGTAAAGATTAATTTCACCTACACGTGGATATAAAGAACATAAAAAATGTAGCTTGTGTGCGAAAGAAGTTATGAATTTGGTTCACGACGTGAGGCAGTTGATCGACACCTCTCAAGCCTAGAACACATGTGACAAGCCTACAAGTTGATCCAGGTAAACTCACAACGTGAGCTTATATGGCTCACGGCATGAGGGTCAAATTTTCGAACTATAAATAGAG